CGAGTCCTCCTCCGCCGCCGAGTCCTCCTCCGCCGCCGAGTCCTCCTCCGCCGCCGAGTCCTCCTCCGCCGCCGAGTCCTCCGCCGCCGCCGAGTCCTCCGCCACCGTCGCCTCCACCATCGCCGCCGCCTCCTCCTTCCCCGCCGCCGCCACCATCACCGCGGCCACCACCATCGCCGCCACCGGCACCACCATCCCCGCCGCCACCCCCTTCCCCGCCGCTGCCGCCGATCATCCCCACCGACATGATCTGGCCAATCGTGTGGCACCATACTCCATCGGCGTCTCAGCTGGACGGCGGCAAGACAATGGTCCTCTCTACCGAGTCGCTCCTCGTGGACTTTACCAAAGCCAGCAAGGTCTTCGTCGAGGTTGCCGTCTATGACTCGGCCGATGCCACAACGCCGACCTTTGTCCAGGTCGAGGCCACCGTCGACGACACTGGCGAGATCTCATTTGTTTCGCCGCCCTCCGCCAAGCCCGGCTATGCGCCCATGCGCATTGTTGTCGACGATGATGGTACCGGCGAGGCCAAGCGGTACTGGGTCAACAACTCGATTTACTACGTCGACTCGGACTGCACCGATCCGGGCTTTGTCCTTTTCAACGGCGTCTGTCGCGACTGCATCGACTTTCCTGGCGCATTCTGCCCAGGCGGCGATCGGTTCTGGTCCAAGCCGGGCTACTGGAACGCTGACGACAACACTCCGCCGATCGTCTGTCCCATTGCCACCAATTGTCCAGGCCACGAGATCGACAAGGCCTCGACACCGCCGGGTGCATCCGATGGCACTGGTGGCGAGAGTAGCTCGGCTCGTTTTGATGGCTTTGGCCATGCGTCGTGCATCCCGTCCCGAACCGGCCTGCTCTGCACCTCGTGCGCCGATGGCTACCATGTTGCCTCGTCGGGCGTGTGCATCGCCTGTGAGTCACTCGCCTACCGTCTGCTCATCATCCTCTTCCTCCTCCTCTTCTGCGTCATTATCCTCGCCGTCCTCGCCTGTGCTCCGCATCGCCACGCCGGCGTCTTTATCATCGTCCTCATGGTGGTTCAGCTTGTCGCACTCGTTGTCCGATACACCCTCTCTCACCGTGATGCACACACATCGTTCTGGACCACCGTTTTGCGCTGGTCCGGCATCATTCTCTTTGATCCGGAGGCCTTTGGCTTTGGATGTCTCACGACGTGGTCGGCACCGTATTTTGTTGCCTTTTACCTGCTCCTCTTTATCGTCTTTGTCATCATGCTCATCATCGCCTCTCTCATTGCATGCATCCGCCAGCGCTCGGCCGACCCACTTCGCCGGAAGGTAAGGATCCGCCGTGTCGTCTACGTCGACGCAAATGATAGCTCGGTCACCTCGGCCACTCACATCCGCTCGCCGTCGTCGCTCGACTCGGACGGTACATCAACAGCCACGGCGCGCACCCGCGCCCGCATGCGCATGGTCCGTGTTCGTCGCCGCGTCAGATCCGCCGCCACGGCTCATTCCGAGACTGCTACCACCTCGACCTCGTCATCGTCAACCACGTACACCTCGTCATCAACATCCGCGTCGTCGTTGTCGCCATCGACCACCTCGACTTCCTCGTCGTCGGCCATTCGCTCAGAATCTGCCCTCCTCGAGTCGTCACTCAGCTCCATCTCCGAGTCGACCTCTGTCGTTGAGCAGCAGGAGGTGCATGCTTCCACTCGGTCGCCCGATGAAGGCAGCTCCGAGTCGGAGACCTTCCTCTCTGCCTCGTCGGCCGAGAACTCGGACGATGACGCCCCTGCTGGCGAAAAGGCTCCGCGCAGCCGATGGATCACCTACGCCCTCGCTTTTATTGCCGCCGCCTTCTATACCCCGCTCACGTATCGGACACTTGCTGGACTCTCGTGCACAACCTTTGCCGACAACGTCTCACGCCTTGACGACGAGATCGCCACCAAGTGCTACACTGGCTCACACAAGCTCGTCGCCTACCTTCTCCTCTGGCCGATGGCCGTTGCTTTTGTCGGCGGCTTTCCGCTCGTTGTTCTGGGCTGTGGCATAAGCACTACCCGTGCAGGCTTGGCCCGTCGCGCCTTGTCTCATCGCATGCATCTCGTCGAGGCTGGCATCCGCTTCCTGTTCACCGGCTTGCGATCCTCGCGCGCACCGCTCGGTGCCATGCCGTTTGCGCTTGTTCTTGTCCTCTCGGCCATCGCCACCAAACTCAAGAACAACATCAGCCTCCAAATCATACTGGCGTCAATTGTCATCGCTATCGGCCTTGTTGCTGTCGCCTGGGCTGCCGTCGAGCGCTGGCGCGCCATCGTCCCGCTCCCAGGTGCGCTCGCGGGCATCATCGTCATCCTCATCTTTGCCGTCGACTCGGGCCGGACGTCCACCGCTGCCATCGCTCTTGCTGTTGTCTCTGCTGTCATCGCTACCGTCCTTGTCCTCGTCTTGAACTGGAAGGCCATCATCGACCGCCACGTTGTGAATCTGGGTAACAATGCCGACCGTGGCTCCCACGACGCCAACGCCGATCGTGACTCAAATGCCGATGCCGACACCGATGCTGACACCGACATCGATGCCGATGCTACCAGTCAGTCCAACGCAAGTACAGCTTCGGATGACATCTACTCTACCGGTATGTACAGCTCTTAAACGGCCAAGTACGCTGCTGACAGCGCCCGCAATCAGGAGCTCTCATTGAACACGGCGACAGCGGGCTGCCAGCGCCAGCCACTCACTCCCACCTCACCCTCACCCCCCCCCCCCACCTCACCCCATGTCTACAGCAGTCTCTGACATGGACGTAGTCGTGGCACCACCCACAAGCATACCCCAACCCATCACCGAGCCAGCACCCAAGCCCGAGCCCTCACCCGAGGCTGAACCAGCAGAGGTACTTTCTACGACCTTTTTCAAGTCGCCTTCCCCTTAAGCTTTTGGTTGGGGGGGGTGGGGGGGAT